AAGCGGGCACACAGGCGGATCGCCGGCGAGACCCCTTTCCCTTGATGCTATTGCCTTCGCGAACCATCTCGGGAATTGGTAATCTCTCTGGATCTTTCTCTTTTGACATTTGATTTTGATTTCTAGAATATTTTGGAGCGAGTCTTTAGTTGAGATCGGTCAATCGAGGGTACTTTACATGTGGGTTGATTGAGATTTCTTCTCCATTTGGAACAAGAAATTTTATGTCTCTAATTTGACTGAGTATTTATTTTATTTTTCTCTTTTTTTTATTTTTATTTTTTTGCCTTCCCACTTTTATTTTCAAGTTTTGTTGGCGCTCTAACTTGCTTATTCTAATTGTATTATTAACTGAAGTCGCTACTTATATATGTATTAAACCTAATAACTTCATATAGTGGGTAATGGATGAAGGTAAAGAAGAAATTTTCAAATTAAATTCATTCCTAATTTTAATCTCAAATTTCGCCCCTATTCAAACTTTACTATAAAAATCGACTCACTTTACTACAAGGCTCTCAGACTTTGACTAAAAGAAAAGCAATAAAAGCAAAATCGGAGGTTTGAGATCATTTTACTAAGTTTAAAGATAAAAATGGTGATCCAAAAGCAAAGTGCAACTATTGTGAAAAAATGTATTTTGCACATTGTAAAAAAATGGTACTACAGCACTACATAATCACATGGAGTCTTGTAAAAAACACCCACATAATGTCGACACTCGACAGAAGCTAATAAATTTACAACTCATTCTTGATTCACAAAGTGGAGCTAGTACGAAAATGGGAACCCTTGATAGTTGGAGTTATGATGACGGAGCCGTAAGAAAAGCCCGCAGTTATTTCACCATTTTAGATGAGCTTCTATTCAAGTTAGTAGAGGGTTTAGGGTTTAAAAATTTCATGTCCACCGCTTGCCCTAGATTTCATATTCCATCTCGTTGGACAATCCAAAGAGATTGCTATGAGATTTACCTTGAAGAAAAAAAAAAGTTTAAAAAATATATTGAAAGCTACATGTCAGAGGGTGTGTCTAACAACTGATACTTGGACTTCCATTCAAAATATTAATTATATGTGTTTAACGGCACACTAGATTGACAATGATTGGAAATTGAACAAAAGAATAATAAACTTTTGTCCTATTTCAAGTCATAAAGGAGATGATCTTGGGAAGGTGGTCGAGAAGTGTTTACTAGATTGGGAAATTGAGAATGTTTTCACCATTACGGTTGATAATGCTAGTTCAAATGATACCATGATTACTTACTTAAAAAAAGGTTAAATAATTGGGGAGGCACAATGTTGGGTGGAAAATATCTTCATATGGGATGTATTGCTCATATTGTTAATCTTATTGTTAGTGATGGGCTCAAAGATTTGGGGGATTCTGTTGTCCGTGTTCATTCGGCGATGAGATATGTGAGGCAATCTCCATCTAGATTAGCTAAATTCAAAACTTGCATTGAACTAGAATAAATTAAATTTGGTTCATCTTTATGTTTGGATGTATGCACTAGATGGAATTCCACTTTTTTGATGTTGACATTGCTCAAAAATATGAAAAAGCTTTTGAAAGATATGGTGAAGAGGATCACTTCTTTAGATTTGAACTAAGTAATGGAAATGAAGCTCATAGAATGTCATTGGAGAATGATTGGGTTAATGTGAGAAGGTTATGTATTTTGCTTGAAAAAATTTATAATCTAACATTATGTGTTTCGGGTTCTTCATATGTGACAAGTAATTTTTTTTTTCAAGAAATTGGTGATGTTGCTTGTGATTTGCAAAAATGAAGATTGTCTGATGATGCATCATATGCTAGAATTACTAATAGAATGACAGATAAATATGAGAAGTATTGGGGAAGTTGGGAGAAGACGAACATGTTAATTTACATTACGACACTTCTTGATCCACGAAATAAAGAAGATTTTGTGAATTTTATTCTTGAGCTTACATACGGTGAGAAAGAAAGTGTTGATAAGTTAAAATTCATCAAAGATGCTGCATTTGCATTATTCAATGAGTACAAAATTAAATATGGAATAGAAATAGATGCAAGTGGGCAAAGTGCTTCATCTAATAATATTGACGATAATGATGTTAATCAAATAACCGATGTAAGAAGTCGGTTTAAAATGTGAAAGTCGTAAAAGGAAGTGCCAAAGCAAAATCAGAGTTGGAAAGATTTCTAAGCGAGGACGTTGAAGCCGATCAAAGTAACTTTGATATTTTCGTTTATTGGAAAGTTAATAGTGTAAGGTTCTCAATTCTCTCTCGGATGGTTCGTGATGTATTGGTTGTTCAATCTTTACAGTTACTTCTGAGTCTGTATTTAGTACAGGTGGCCGAGTACTTGATTCATTTAGGAGCTTATTAACTCTGAGAATGGTACAAAGCCTAGTGTTTGTTGGAAAAATTGCAATGAAGAGAACAAAAGAAACTTGGCTTGTATTTCTTTGATTCCGGTTATAATTTGATTACAAAAGAGAAGAGAACGAATTTGGTTCTCTCCTTTTTTTAAAACTGGGTTCTTCAAGGTAGTGATGGAGTGCCTCCCTCGAATGCTCGCGTCGAGTTTGCTCTCCGTTAACGATCCGACCGTCTTGATTCATTAGAACGATGTCTTCTCCTCACGATTTGACGTTGTGGAGAACTTGCGTAGCAAGTTTAAAACTCTTGATGAGTTGATAACTCTGATCGAGTTTGAAACTATTGAAAAAGAATTGATTTGAACCGAGAATCGGTTCTCAAGCCAAGGCCGAAGGCTTCAAGGAATGCTCCAAAGGATGAATGTCGATCTCTCCCTTTGCTGTCAAGTCCCAGATCCGAAAATGCTAGCCGAAAAAGCCTTGAACTCCGGACCAAAGAAGCCAACCTTTAACTCAGTTGAGTTTACTCGCTTTTATAGGGGATTAAGGGGGTGTAACCACCCCTTAAATCACTCCTAAGTGGGGTGTAACCACCCACAAATCATGGGAACCGGTTTTGGAACCGTTCAGCTCATATTTGAATGAGTCAAACGCCCACGTTGGCGTTCAGGACCCTAACTCCGTATTTTAGACTGGAGACGCGGAGTTGGGTACCCGCTGGGCATTAAAAAACGCGGGTCTGACCCTAGCGTTTTAATGTTATAACGCGGGTCCGACTCCAGCGTTTTGATGTTGTAATATGGGTTCGACCCTAGTGTTTTGATGTTGTAACGTGGGTTCGACCCTCGCGGTTTACTGTTGACACACGGGGAGGACCTCCGCGTTTTGGTGTTGATACACGGGGAGGACCTCCGTGTTTTGGTCTTAGAGCGCGGTGATGAGTTCCGCGTCTTGCTTTGGAGAGATTATCAACAAGTAATCTCTTTTGTCATAGCGTTACAAAGATCATTGTCTTGTAATCTTCGTCTTGGCTCCTTGAGAATATGAGAGTCGTCAGATTGTAACTCCCGATGTTGATTGTGAATGCTGTTGAACTAGAGCTCTCATCGGTTGTCGTGAAGGTCGTCAGATTGTAACCTTCAGCGATCTACGTGAAAGTCTTCAAATTGTAGCCTTCTGGAAGTCATCAGATTGTAACTTCCATCATCGGTGTTTGATGGGGGATAAGCTATCTATTGTGATTTTTAGACAGCCTACAGAACCCCCTCCAAAGTTTTCAAAAGTTCGCGGTTGACTGGGACGAATTTTCGGAATACTTTGGATCTCAACTCTGATCCTGGAGCTATTGATTCCTTGTCATAAAGGAGTCGTTCTCTGCACTCGCTTTGAAGGTATCTTGGTTGAAGGGATTTGTCATGAAGATCCTGTGTGAAGGTATGCATTATAATCCTGCTTCTAGAATGCGGGGGTGGACTCTGTATTTTGAACTTGAGACGCGGGTCTCACCCTTGCATGTTGAATTTGGAACACGAGTGTGACCTAAGCGTTCGGTTTTTGCATCACGGGTCTGACCTCAGTGTCTGACCTCAGCGTTTGGTTTTTACATCGCGGGTCTGACCTAAGCGTTTGGTTTTTACATCGTGGGTCTGACCTCAGCGTTTTGACTTAAGACATGGAAGTGGCTTCCGTGCATTTTTGACTAAGTCTTTGAGACTTGTCTTTAGCTCATATGTTTCAAGTCTCGGCTCACATCCATTAAGCTAATGGACCTATGAACATGCATAGGATTTTTGGCAAACCCTCAGCCATCAACGGATTTGATAAGCCTTTACCGACTACCGTTTGAGTCGGGCTAGCATATGGATTGTCTAAGTCCGTTCCACATGTAACGTTGTGCTAAGAGAATGAACCCTCTTAGACTTGATGCTATGATTTTGAATACATAGACTTTGTCATTTTTACGAAAAAAGACTAACCGGCAACGCGTGTTAGGCGTAGGCTTATCTCTAATTAGGGATCGAGATAAAGTCCCCTATACGTGAAGGCATGGATTTTTGATGCTGTTTCTTTCTGTGTGGCTTGAAACACCAAAAGAAAGTTGGAAGTGCCATAGGTATAGTATTAACTTGGCATGAATTTTCACTTAAAGTAAAATTCAAAATTTTTCTTTATTATCACTAGGATAATTCCAGAAAATCTTTAATCCACTGGGGATTTTATAATAAAAACTTGCTATTCTTGTTGTAAAAAGGATTAACAAGTTTATTGGGGGTAGACTGTTAGAGGTGTGATGTTAACCTAACAGTATTTTATGAACCTATCGCTCTATTAAAGAGAGTCGATAAGTTAGTTTGGTTGTCAGAGGTGTGATGTTAACTTGACTAGAATTTATGGACTTATCGCTCTATTGAAGAGAGTTGATAAGTTAATTTTGTCAGAGGTTTAGTGTTAATATGACAGGAATTTGTGTTGCGATTGGAGCAACTTTGTGGACTTATCATCCTATTGAAGAGGATTGATAAGTGGGTTGTCAGAGGTTTAGTGTTAACGTGACGAGAGTTTGTGTTGTGATTGGAGCAACTTTGGAGACTTATCATCCTATTAATGAGGATTGATAAGTGGATTGTTGTCAGAGGTATATTGTTAACGTGACAGGAATGTGTTGCGATTGGAGCAACTTTGTGGACTTATCATCCTATTGATG